AACCACTTGGAGGAGGTCTGGTGCAGATTAACCATGTAGCCACCGGAAGTTCTATCAGTAAGCACACAAATGCACAGCCTCCACCAAATAGCAAAGTTGATTCATGTTATTCACCATTGCTTGAATGCCTGCATCTAGAGGGCAGTGAGAGAGCCACCATGTACAGAGGCAGTGAGAAAGAGAATGAGAGTGTTTTGGACAAAGCATTGTCCCTAAATGATATTGCATCCATAGCAGGCTTGCTGAAAATCATCATGATTCTCTGGAAAAGCATTCACAGAAGCATGGAGAACAATAAGGAGGCAAGAGTTCATACCATTACCAAGTTTGCCTCTGTTCTCCCAGAGTACCCGAAAGTCTTTATAGATGATTGCTGCAAGATACCTCTATTCGTGCTAATGTCCTTTATGTCCTGCATCAGCCGTGCCTTTGCTCAGCTGCAGTGTGATTCCCACCCTGAGAAGCCAGGAAAGAGGGTGCTGTGGACAAAGAGCTGCTGCACTTTGCTGGATTGCCTGTGCTCTTGGGGGTATGTGGGGCACATTCTAGACCTTGTTGATGTCTGACTGCCTGGTAAACAACCCAGACCAAGAACAATGAAGCTTCTAAACATAAAGTGCAAATCCATCATACACACCCACAAAAACCCAAATTAGTGTTGGTTTACATAGAATATTTGCTGACCCATCCAAAGAATTGAGAGAACCTGCTCTCTGCTCCCTGAAGAAACTTAATAACCTTTTGAAAGCACTTGAGATGTTGAAGGCAGATCTGGAGTCACTTTTGCATATGCCAAGTAAAAAACTGAGTGACTTCAGTGAAACAGTGGCCCTGCAAGCCTTCCATCTCTACTGTGACCTAAGGAGAATCCACCTCCAGCACAAGTTCTGCTCAGAAGGAAAAGTTTATCTGTCCATTTTGGAAACCCTGGCTTTTGGTTAGAAAGCAAACTTTTATATGTTGTTCAAGATCAAGAAGAAGAATATTTGAAGTGTCACAGGGTTGTATATTAGCAAATTATCCAGCCCTACTTGACAATATGCAAAGATGTGGTTATGCTCAGCCTTGGCAACTTAATCTTTCAGGTATAAATTTCACAGCAGGGTCTTGGCTTCATGCAGACAGTGAAGGGATATTTTTTATGTTTCATTGCTGCTTGACATTCTGAAAGAGATAACTGGAAATCCCTTGGTTCAGAAAACAGATTCAGCTGAAGAAGTTGCAATGCTGTTTGACACAGTCCAGAATGTTGGAATGTATTGTGCAGAGCTTCAGAAAGCAACTGGAAGAGAGTTGAGATAAGCCACTAACTGTTGGAAGGATTTTCTGATGTAAAAGCACTTACCCTTGCAGACTGTCTCTCTACCTTTCTGTCCTTTTCAAGGTGTTTGATAGGAATAGAGATGAAGTCCTCCAGCATGGTTAGATCATTTTTGAATGAGTTAAGGCATGTGTGACTTCTGATGACAGAAGCAATTATGCGTCTCACCGCTGTTGTGCACATTATTTTGGTTGTAATAAAGGTAAACATAGAAGTTCAAAAGTGAGGGAAGTTGAAGCTACTGTTCACAGAAAACTTAAGGCATTCATGGAAATTTCCATGGAAGAGGATAGCATCGAAAGATTTCTGTATGAGGGATCAATAAGAACTTTCAAGAACTTCTGAATTCATAACCAAGCCAGCATCTCAGACACATACAGATCGGGAAGAGAACTCCAGCAATGAAGCACTTGTGTGTTTTCCTCGTGTTTTTAAGGCGGATGAGACACATGTAAGGAAGGGGTGGTGCTTTTGTGGGGGCAGTATAAGCAGAGAACTCAGCAGTCCTTCATTGTTTGCCCAATGCTTCCATGAATAATATGTTTAATATGAAGGACTCCAAGTGCTGGGGAAGAAATCCATGATGCAAAGGGAAAAAAAGGCTTTTTTTCCTAGCAAAATTGGTTGTTTTAAAATTATATATATATATATATATATATATGCATTGCTTGCAAACTATGAGTAATAAAGCCATGACAACATCAAAAATAAAAAAGATTTCAGTGTCATCTATGTGTATCTATCTAAAAATCTAATTGGAAGGCAAGCCGCAGTCACACTAGAGAGAAATAAAGCAAGACTTTGATGAAGTCTTCTCCTATCACAAGAGTGTTAGAGAAATGTTGTCCCAAGTCTAATTCTGGGAGTGCAATGACGCATTGCCATGGATTCTGGGATGTGTAGATAGTAACAAAAAAAGAATTCCAAAGATGTAAATGCTTACTGAAGAACTTAAGTTGCCATCCATGGGTGTCTGAAATGGAGTGTTCTAGGTTGTCAATAGCCACCTGCACAGCTGACATGGTGGACTAAATGTCCAGCCATACAGCAAGATCACATGTTCAACCTAGGATCCCTCTTTTATCTTTTCTTTTCATCACCAGCCCCTAGTTGAGATGCTCATTATAATTTCTCTTTCTTTAGAAAGCAACACCACCTGCTGAAAGAGAACAGCAGATCTTCAGTTCATTTTTGTTTGTTTGTTTGTTTGTTTTTTGAGACGGAGCCTCAAGCTATCCCCCTGGGTAGAGTGCCGTGGCATCATGCTCACAGCAACCTCCAACTCCTGGGCTCAAGCGAGTCTCCTGCCTCAGCCTCCCAAGTAGCTGGGACTATAGGTGCCCGCCACAACGCCTGGCCATTTTTTGGTTGCAGCCATCGTTGTTTGGCAGGCCCGGGCTGGGGATTCGAACCTGCCACCTTAGGTGTATGTGGTTGGCGCCTCAGCTGCTTGAGCCACAGGCGCCGAGCCTTCTGTTCATTTTTGAAAAGAGGTATTCACAAAAGTATCTCATAATGTTCCTTCTGGATTTAGGAAGATGTCTTAGTTCCCTGAAGAAGTCTCACTAGACACAAAATTGAGACCCTAGATCCTACATAGTTCTATTCCCACAGATTACATAGTCCATTGTATGGGAGCATGTATCACATGAACTTCCCATATTTCCTCGTAACTTTGCATTGTTGATTGAGAATACAAATTTTTGTTAAACTGCCATTGACTCCAAGCCACAGATGACCAATGACTTTCCTTGCATGACCTTGGTTCTTGAAACCATAGCTTATTATCCAACTCATTCTTCCATTTAAGACACTTCTCTTATGATTACAAATTCTCAATGGTTTCCACTCTTTATTAATTCTGAACACTTGAGTGGCAACACCTAGAATTAATTTTGGCTTCTAGGCTGTGAATTCTAAGTTTGTGAAAGCTGAATGGGAGATTTAGAACCTATACTTCTTGCCTTAGTAATTGATCACAGCCTCTTTGCAAATGACTTATTTGTAAAATGATATCCATTCACTTAAAAGATAAAATGAATGAGAAAACTACAATTATTGTGAAGCAATGTGAAACAAAATGTCATATGAATGATAACAAATTCGAGGCAGACATTTTGACTCAGTTCAAACCTACTGTAGGACTCAGCATAAACAGCACCAAAAGTTGCTAGCTCATGTTTTCTCCAGGAAACCACGTCTGTGAGGCCAAATAAGCATTCTTTGCTGCTACCCTGTAGCTTTCTACAACTCCACTGATTTTAAGTATTAGAACCACACAAATAAGAAGTAACACTTAATATTATGTATTAACAGCATTTAAGATACTATTCTAGAGCTAATCACAGAGTATTATACTTAATCCTTACCACAATTACCTGAGTCGGATATTATTTCTGATGGGTTTTAAATTGTGGCTAAATTCATATAGCTCATAAATGACAAGCCCTAAGATTTGGATCCAAGTCTGTGTAACTGTAGAGTACCAGAAGTACTCTGACATTTGGGACTAGATAATTGTTTTGGGAGTTATCCTCTGCATTGTAGGTTGTTTAGCAATCTCCCTGGCCTCAACCCACTAGATGCTAGTGGCACTCCCCAGGTGTGACAATCAAAAATGTCTCTAGACATTGCCAAGTGTCTGGGAGGAATTGGGGTGGGATGTGCAAACTGGTCCCAATTAAGAACCTCTGCTCTAGAACCAGTGATTTGACTCCAAATTTCTTATCTACTATACAAATTTTCCTTTCAAAGTGGATTTCTAAAGTGTTCCCCATTTATTTTTTTCTAATGCCATATTTCATTTTTAAATGTTAAGTTATAACAACATATAAGTTCATTGTAACAGATCTATAACTATATATGAACAACACCTCTATGCAGACATGCTTAGTATCTTAGTTTCTTCTTTTCTTCCTATCCTGTGTGCTCCTCTTTTTGCCTACTTCCAGTTAGATGATGCAAGGTAGCCTTGGCAAATTGCTTTACTTTCCTGGGTCTCTCCTCAATCCAAATACTGTACCTATTTCTTGTTGGGCTATTTGGAGAACTCTTGCCTCTTCTGGTTGAGTTTACTGGAAGGAACACACTCCGTAATAGGTGGCTAAATTTGCAGATGCAATTATGGGTCACTAACAAGGGAGTCCAACTCCATCAGGCCTATCTCATTCATCTGGGAGGCAGTGAGCCCAGTTGCTGAGCGTAGGTCTGTGGATGGGCAATTAAGGTGAATGTTAGTTATAAAACCGACCTCAGTCTTGCGTTGGGATCCAATTAAAGCCCTAACCAGATTTTGATGACTTCTCTCTTTTGTCAGCCATAAGTTGCTGAGAGTGTCAGAGGGAAGAAGGGAGTGTTGCATGCCTTAAATCAAAAGGAGCCATCAGGATAACTTTCCCAGTGGTCAGACTTTGGGAGCCAAAGAACCCTGCTTCTGCGTTTTGGGTGTCTTTCATGCAGAATCATAAAATCTCAGGTGAGAGGGGTCCTAGCAAGTCATTTCCCCATCCCCTTTCCACCTTCAACTTCAGCTCAGAGTGCCTGGAGTTCATTGTTTGTTAAGTGACTGGCTGGGGGAATGGATGAATGAGTTAGATAATTCCTGCTTGACCCTCCGGCCAAGCCCTCTGCCAACTCTCCGAGTACCCACACTCCCACGTCCTGCCCAGCAGGCACTCACCTTGTGCTGTTTCCACATGGCCCCCAGCGGCTTCACCTCGTGCTTTCCATGCCGGCCCTCTTCCAGGCACAGATAACACACCGGGGTTCGGCAGCTCACGCAGTACATGCTGTAGTTCTCCATTTCGTGTTCCGGGCACGTGGGGAACTTGCGGGCCGCGCTGCTCCCTGCGGCTCCTGCCCCGGCACCTCCCGGGCTCTTGCAGCTGGCGCCTCCGCTGGGGGCGCCCTGGGCGACGCCGGCGGGAACCGAGGCTGCCTCGGCGGACGCAGGCGGCAGCGGCGGCGGCTGCACCAGGCGGTGTTTAGCGAATGGTCCCCTGGATGGATGGCACTTGAGCTGACAGGCAGCGCAGTAGAGCACGTCGCACTGCTCGCACAGCGTGGCTGCCGGCTCTGGAGGGGTGCGGTCGCACAACTGGCAGATGGCCACTGCCGGGGCTGCGGACGCCCCCGCCGCTGCCCCGCGGCCCTGCTGGTATCGCTGCACTATGGCCTCCAGCAGCCGATTTCGCTGGAAGCCGCGCAGGCCCCGGTGGTCCAGGGAGGCGCTGCGGTGGCACTGCGGGCATGTGATAGAGCTCGAGGAAGACGAGGACAGCGTGGAGCATGCGGCACCCCGGGCCGCGGCGGCCGAGGAGCCAGGTGGTGCGGGCACCATGGGCAGCACGCGAACCCCATTGGGTGACTTGAGGCTTGGGGTGTAGGACCCATAGCCACTGTCTGTCTCGCTGTACAAGCTCAGCTTGTCCGCGTGGTCACCGCAGCCTCCGGCGCCGCCACCCAGGCCTCCAGCTGCGCTCCCGCCTGCGCCACTGCTGGCGGGTCCGGGCGCAGCCTCGTGGTCCTGCGGAGGAGCAGCGGCGGCGCCCGCTGGCAGCCCCGAGCCCCGGGAAAGCAGGAGCGGCTGGGTCAGGTGCTGCTCGCCGTCAGGGGTCTGTACTGCGATGGTGCGAGCGCAAGGCAGACAGACGTTGTGGGAACAGGGCAGAATGATGGGCTCCCGAAACAGCGAGCCACACACGGGGCACTTCAGCTCCTCCTCCATCGCGGCGCCGGCTGCGGATGCTGGTTGGGGCTGGTGGGAAATAGCCAAGGCTCGCTAGAGGACCAGCGAAGGACCAGCCTGTTTAGCCCGGGTGAGACGGCGGGCGGGGACATCACACGGACATGACTGCTTTACAGCCGCGGGGCTCGCCCCTTACCCTGTCTTGTGGCCGCCGCCCTAAGACAATCGATTGGGCGCAAAAGAAGGGAGAGGGTCCTCACCTCGGAACCGCGAGGCTCCTGCACCAGCAGCTTCAACCTGCGGCGGGAGCCTGGCGCCGGTTGGCTGCCCTCGCGATGGCCTGCCAGGCGCTCCTGGTGATGAATCAGCAGCAGCGCCTCCGCCGGCTGCAGCGCGCCTCCTCTCCGCACCAGGACGGTGGCTGGGCTGCTGTTCTCCAGCTCTCCATGCTAACCCCTCGCTCGGGTGGGCCACTGCCCCGAGGCTCCCTTTTGACCCCGCCCCACCCACTGTCGGGGCGAGCTGCAGGCCGCTGGGAGGTGGAACAGAGATCAGCACCACGAGGCGGCGGACAGCGCCCGGGAGCAGAAGGTGTGGCTGGAGATGCCAGCCTGACGACCTCTGTGCCGCCACACGCCGGGTCGCCGCGGCCACCGCCAACCACCTCGGTGGGGCCAGCGAGGCCCGGAGACTGCGTTTTGCCCTCCTTCTCGGCGGCTGCGGACGCGGGCAGACTGTGCTCTGGGGCTTCTTCTCTGCGCCTGGGATTGACCCGCTTCCCGGGTTCCAGCTGCTGCTGCTCCTGCGGCGCCTCTGACCTTGGCCGCGCGACGCTGCAGCCGGCGGGCGGAGGGCGAGCGCCTGGCTGGCTCGGGAATCCCCTCCCCGCCTCTCTCCGCTGCAGCCGCCGCCTCCCGGCGCCGCGCCGAGGAGTTGTAATTTCCAGAGCAGAGAGTAGAGGGGGAGGGAAGGGGGACGGGGCGCCTGCTCGGCGAATGAGCGCTCGGCTCTTGCTGCTAGGGGAATCAAGGGGCAATTTTAAGGATATCGCAGAGAGGATCATTGTTAATAATAATCCATTATTTGGATGGAAATTGCGTCTTGA